AAAAAAATTACACAAAAACTGTAATCAAATATAAACTAGATCTCAAAACCCCCAACACACCCCAGGAAACTGTGTTTTCTGTGTTGTTTTACAAAAGGGTTCTCTGATTAGCGAGGAACATTAGGAATTAGCCCAATATATCATGGCAAGTCATTGGCAAAACTGGAAAAACAACTCAGGAGAAAACCAGGTATTTCATTCTCACAGCCAGGAATGTGGTACCATTAAGGATCAGAGGAATATGTAATTTAAGAACACGTGGGAAGAAGTAGGAGGAAAAGGCAAGTCGTATCCCTGAGCAGAATACAAGAAACAAGACTTTATAAAGCAGGGGGCTGGACTCCTGTTTGAACAAAATTGAAGAAGTATGCAGGATTCTTTGTCTTGTGTCCTTCTGTCTGCATGAAGCAGTTAAACAAAAGAGTAGCTACGAAAACTACAAGTCAACTGACCTAAAGAGAAAGGAGTGCTGGGAGTGTTTGGATGTTTCAGCACTGAAATCAAAAACGGGGCTTCTAATGCTTTGAGAGATTTCGGGGCAAGGTGTGGAACCAAGCAATTGTCAAGTTAGCTGGGACACTCAAGTACCCATGAAGGAACGTGACTCAGGTTTAATCTTAGAAATTTATTTATTGCTTCATCAACAGTTTCTATTATTGAAATTTTATAGTTTAAAAGAATAAAATTAGTCTTTTACCTATGCAATATTTCGTCAAATAAAAAAAAAAAACCAAGCCAAAAAAACACCCCCGTCTCCAGGTAACCTGGTAAGTACAACATGAGAGTAAAGTTCTTTCATGAGTGGTAAACTGCAAATCTAGGGATTCCTTCTGTAAAACCTGCAGTCTCTCCTAGCAGGCAATAAGCAGTGTTCCTCAGAAAGCAGTACAAACATTGCCAAACACCCTGTGTCCCCAAGAATCACACCTTCAGAGAGCAGAAACCAGAGATGCTCTTCATAAGCTGTTGTTAATTGAAAGCAAAGGTCGAGCAGGCAGTATGAAAATAGTGCTGCCATGGGAAAGTGAGGGACAGGTAAGAAGAAGGACAATAAAGGCACTATTGAAATTGCAGGCAAGTATATGCTTTGCAAATCCCAAAAAGTATCTCTAGAAATTATCAGGAATTTGGACTGTAGGCTCCAAAACTGTAGTAAACAACCTCTTAGCTATGAGTTTGAGCCAAACTCCCCTCTTTTTATATTAAAAGGAGATGTATCTGTGTTTTGAACATGGATCTCATTATTACTAGTGACCCTACTAAAACAGAGATGGTGCATTGGTTTAGGAAAGAAAAGTAAGAGGCAGCATTGTTTTAGGAATGCTAAGAACAGATAACAGCAGAATCGAAACAAATATTTGGAATTCATAATAATATGTCAAAGCAATTGATTATGTATGTAATCTATTCTCTCCTTTGCATATTTTGTAAGCCAACTAGATGTGTTCATGAAAACCAGAACTTCTTCACAAAGCACCAGTGACAATGGACTCTTAATGGCATCCACTTACTTTTGCAGAATGAAATGCTATATGGTATGACTACATGAAATTTACGATAATTAAAATGTTTTCCTATATTTGAATCAAAAAAATCCCACACATTTACTAATATATAATCAATGTGAGCATAAATGTTGGGGAGGAATGGTGCTTTTAAATTATAGCATTTCACAACACCTGGTTATGTGATATAACGTCCTCATGTCACTGGTAATCATCCGCATGATAGAACCTGGTGGTAGAATCAATCCCTATTTAAAGTGACGCATAATTACGGTAACATTTGTAAGCTATATAACTAAGCTTATCCTTTAACCTTAGACAATATGCAAGTCAAACATAAAAAAAAAATCCATAAGCAATTAAGCATTAAGGCCCCAATCAAAGTCATCATGCTAAGCCCTTGCTGTTTACAAGATCACAGCTGTTAGGCCCCAGCTTTGCAAATTCATCAGCCCCACGCTTTACTTCAAGCAAGAATCAGATACAGAGGATCTTGTAGTCCTGATTTTGCAAAGCAATCCACAGGGTGCAATGAGGAGGTGGTTTGCATCACTGGGATTTAAAAACATTTTGTTTCAGTACAAATAGCCTTGTCCCGAGATAATTCTCACAAAATAAATACTTTATTTCCATATTGATGAGAATGAATAAAATGTGATGTGTTAAACATGTAAGCACAACTAAATTTTTAATACTCTCCTCTACTGCTCTATATGCATGTATTTAAGCAATGATAAATCTGTAAGAGCATGTACACATTAAAGTGTCCTTGTTATTAAGAGTAACAAATAACCTCATCCTTTCAGTAACTACCTTCTTTTTAATCAACATCTTAATCCTCAAAAAGCAGAAGCCTTGTTTCATTCCCACAATGAGAACTGACACACACGGGTATACATAAAGCACTAATAGAAGAATGAGACTGCTGAATAATAAAGGAAGCGAATCAGTGTCCTGAAAGGTCATTTAAAAAATGTTAGCTGTTCCCAGGACTGCATGTAAGCATAAGTTGTTGTGAACAAGAAAAAAAATCTGAGATTCCTGATAGTAAATAATTTTTAGAAAGTAGCAAGAAGACACTGAGAACTATCTTTTCCAAAAATAGTACTGAGCTTAAAATTCGTAGTCTAAGCAATAAATGTTACAGAAGACGACAATGGAAGATTTCCAAAAACTCTGTATTGAAGGAATTTTCCTCAAAAATCAGCACTGAACAGGACTTCTACTTCCCACGAGGTTTCTTACAGAACTTTGAGTCATAAATTTCAGAATAGTATTTTTTTTTTTAATTAAACATCTTCATTTTGCTTTCTTCAGTTTACCATTTTGATTTCAACGTTTATTCCATTCTTTGTGGTATGTTGAATTAGCTGGTTTTCTGCAACATTTCAATAACATTTTCCTATTGTTTCAGGAACTAATGCATCTCTACTTTGTTCCCCCATGCATCCTGTTCCCCCCACACTGGTGGTGTTTCGTTTGTGGGACTGGCCAGCACCACAACACAAAGAGGAGATTAGGCCCTTACGACCCAACTGTCTTAGTCATCCTACACCTGAAGTGCGCGGTTCAGCTATCCAGTCCCTTCTTGCTTTACCAAATGTTCGGGAGGACTTGAGTTTTGCAGGTTTTAGGACCGCAGTCACTAAAATCTGACTCAGATTGGCTCATCAACCTGGAGGACCAAGGGAATGTGTCACGGCTGCCAAACGTGGCAGAGGAAGGCTACACGACGTTAGGCACAACCAGGTGTCCCCCAGCATCTGGGCCACACACCTGGCCACCTGGGCTGCCCCGAGGGCTTGAGAGAGGGCAAGGACTCTACAGTACTGTGGAAGATACCTCCCTCTTGACAGCTACCTTGTTGTCAGAAAGTAAAGGAGCTGTTTTCCATGCCACAGCTGAAGCACATGATTGAGGGTGCAGGTCTCACAGGAGGGGAGGAGGGAACAGCAGTAAGACACGTGAAATGACACGCTTTCACCCCCTGGACCTTGCAGAGATGCTGCAGGGAAATACCTGCTGCTCCCAGGAAACAATCTTGTGGATTAGGTCTATGAATATCATAGTTGAGCAAATTTCAGCCGTGGGAGGAATGCAGGGAATGCAGTAACAGATAACACTGTATTTTTGGCTGTGAGTCAGCATAAGGCCAACATACGCTTCAGCTCATCAGAATTACTCTGCTGTTGATGCGTTTCTCCGTTCTGTCTGTAAGGGGAAATTGTAAGCAGCATTTTTCCAGAATGGCTCCCACCGCGTTGCCACCTTCTTCCCCTCAGCAAGTGCTGTGTCCCAGGACGTATGCACGCACAGGGACTGGCACGTGGACGCTGGTGGCCAGCAGCGCAGCAGTAATGCCACACGGCTCGGTTACAGATGTCCCTGCAGAAACCATCTGGCTCTTGGCTGAATTAATGCCTTTCTGACCCTGATCTGCTGTGTCCCCTAGAGTTTATTTTCATTATCTCACAAGAGCTGAAAATGAACCGTAAGCACTTTAAGACCTTAGATGGCTCTTTCCTTCCCCCTCCCCGCCATGCATTTAATTACTTTCCACTACCCAAACAAATTTGTGCCTATAATAAGCCTCAGGCCCTCTGTTAGTGTGAATTACTACCACTGCTAACTTAAAACTTTTAGAGGCCCAAAAACCTCCCTATAATAAGCAGGTATCCTAACAGAATTGTAACTTTCAACAGGGTATAACGTATTATGGACGTCCTGGACGTATTTCAAGTAATGTTTAACGAGCAGCACATCTGTATGTGACAGAAGTGTGCGCTTGAGGCACCATCCCTGGAGGTATTCAAAAGACGGGTTGATATAGTGCTTAGTGACATGGTTTAGTGATGGTTTTTTTTTTTATCAGTTAGGTTGATGGTTGGACCAGTTGATCTTAAAGGTCCCTTCCAATCTAGACTATTCTATGATTCTGTAGGTGTTATTCAAGGTGCAAGTGCATTAAATCCAGGCAGTAAATTCACGTTTTACAGAGATGCTGGAAGACTTTCAACGGTGTTTCTTCTTTCAGGAAAGAGAGTCAAGTGCTTGTTTGCTGCTATCGTTATGTCTGACATGAACCTCATACAGGTAGCAATGAGATTGTTTTATCTGAGACGCCTTCACCTGAGAGTAAGTCAGCACTGGAGGAGTGCAGGCTGGACTGAAAGAAGCAACACACCCGCTATACAGCTGCTCACCTAGAAGTCAGTCAATTAGTTATCGGCTTATTTACCGTTGGGGGTTTTGTTTCCCTGCAACAACAAGCATTTTTAGTCTAAATAACAGACTAAACGGAAATAGCGCGGACGAGACGCACGACCGCCGCTCCCTGTCCGCGCCGTGGCCAGGCCCGCAAGATGGCGGTGGGCGGCACTGCAGCCACACTACATTTCCCGTCGTGCAGCGGGGCCCGGGCGGCCGGAACCTCGCGCAGCTCGCGGAGCTGGAGCCGCTTACGTGCGCGCGCTGAACGCCGCCGCTGGGCGGGATTTGGACTCAGCGCGTTCATTGCGCGCCGCGCTCCGCCGGAAGTGGCGTCGTTACGGGCAGTGCGCGACGGCGGGCGGTAGGTGCGGGTCTGGGTGGGCCGCGGGCGGTGGGTGAGGGCCCTCCCGTGGGCAGGGCGGCCGGTCACTCTGCCTCCCTCCCCTCCTTCCCTGCGGGAGTCGCGGGCGGTCCATGGCGCCGCTCACCGGCGCGGTCCGCCCGCGGGTTGGGTGGTCGCGGCCTCCTCTCCCGGGTCGCAGCTCGGCGGCGTGTGGGGAGGCGCGGGCCGGGAGGTAGCGCAGCCCCGGGGAGAGCTGGGGGGCTGGCCGGGGCCGGGGCTGGGCGCCCTGTGGCTAGGCCTGTGAGCTGGGCCTCGGCATCCCCTGCCGCGGCCTTCCCACAGGGCTGGCGACTGACTGTGCCGAGTGGCCGCGGCGGTGGGGCTGGTGGACTCCCAGCTGCCCTGTTACAGCCTTTATCGTTACGGCAGGTGCTGTGTAACCTTAAGAGAGCTGACCAGGGTTGGGGGGGCTGTTTGTTTGCTTTAAGGAGTTATGCAAGCATAGCTTCAAGAAACAAAAATGCAGGTGTCGGCACCGTGTGCATTAGAAAGTTTTTGATAGTTTTCTTTATGTTATAGGTGAAATGCCTTTCATGTTCTGAACTCCACCTTGGTTTGTCCCATTGCTGTGTATTCAGAACTTCATTAAAAGTAGGAAGTCAACATGAAGAGCAGAGTAACGCAAGTAAATGTAAGTGTTCCTAAACCTAAATTATGGGGTTTGTTTATTTCCTTATTAAGGGTGACTGGGTTTGCAGTTGATGTTGTGTTAAATAAAACTCCCTCAATGTAAAGTAAACAGTATCTGTAATTGACAGCAACTGTTTAGAAGAGAAATATTACTATGAAGTCAGTGAATTACTGTTGTCCTAACAGTGAAAGTTCTGAACATTACTAGTATGTAATGATAAAGTAATTGATGAAAAGTGACTGAATGAATGATGGCTCAACAACAAATGTGGAGGAATGGAGGAAAGAGGCATTGAAAAATTTCGTTGTAACAGTGATGTTAAAATGAAAAGATAGACAGGAAGTAGCAGTTAATGTGGCAACTGTATTTTTTACTGTGAAAGTTAAAGCTTTCTGTTTTAAAAGCTGTGTGGCATGTTTCTGAGTGGATGGGAATGATTTGTAGGAATGCAAGAAAAAAAATTTGGGTTAAAATTACTGTTCTAAAATGATGGTTTAGAAATCTCACATTTGTAAAGTACACTAAATTTGGGACAGGTTAGTGGAGCAATGTTCTTCTAATACGCTGTCTCAAATATCTGCCTGTGTTTCTAGGGTTCAACCCTACATAGGCTTCTTCATTCTTTTGGTTCCAACTTTTCTGACTGAAGTGTTTTTTAATAGAGATCTTTGAAGGATAGTTTGATATCTTCTCATATCTTCCCAAACTGGTGGTTATGGTAATGTGCCCTCATCTGTCAAAATAAGCCAAATAATTGTCAAGTGAAAGCAGTTCATTGGGACACTTCCTGTTAATAATTTTGATCAAAATGGACATGGAAGAAGACTAACTTGAGGCAGAAAGAGTGGTCACAAAGAGCTGAGGGTGACAAGTTCCTCAGCAAACATAGCTCCTTTTGCAACAAGACATGGGAACTACCAAATACAGAGACATCTGTAACATTGTTTTATTTCTGTGACCACTTGTCTTTTTGGGTCTGCTTGGGCAAAGACAGGTGTTGTAGAACTCATGAGAATGGATCATCCTAAAAGGACCCCGCTTCTCCCATGTGTTAAAGACTGTTCAAATACAGTAACTGTTCTGTATTTTTCAGCGATTTTTATTGCCAGTTGCTTGGAAGTTTAGGATACAGTTTTGTGTTATGTTATTTTGGGGGAAAAACCCAACAACTTAAGGACCTTGAATGATTTCAGTGATGTGCTATATATATAAGGTATAGTCTCACAAATGAGTATTGAAAGGGGAAGAAAACCATGGTGAAAATAGAGGAATTTCTTGTACTAGCTTTGCCATCAAAAGTAACGCTACTGGAATTAAATTGTCGGATGGATGTTCTTTTGTAGGGATGCATGCTCCCAGTAAATGATGCAATGCATTTGTTTTGTACCATTATCTTGGCTTAAGCAAGATCATACTGGGAATAATTTTAATACAGTGTAACACATACCCTAGAGAAAGCTATATTCTAGAATATGGTACAGTGGTGTCAGAAATACACATATGTATATTTATGTGTATGTGCACCAATTTGAGTGAGAGCAGTCAGCCTATTGGTAGGACAATGCACATAATCATTGTCTTGCTATTATTTCTTTAGGAAGCCTCAGTCGGTGTTGATTTTACTTGCATAGCTCACTCTAAACACCACACTTGCCATTTAGTAAGGATAGTTTTCTTTCTAGTTAAGTTTTTGGAGATCATTGGGTATAAATGTCTGGGGTCTGCTTATGAAGGAGATGCCTTTGTGTTCTGCTGACCAGCAGATTTAACTGGTTCTTTGATGGGGCAAAAACTAGCATGTAAATGGACCAAATCCCACTTCAACAGATGAGTTGAGCATTTCTGCAAAAAGTTCCATCGAGGTGCATAAGCAAGCCCTTGTGTTGAGTTCCTGCTGATGAATGGCTGGTAACCTGAGACTGTAGTTCTGAGAAAGCATAAATGATATTTTAAGGGAAGAGAAGACCATCAAAATGAAAGTATAAAAATCACAAAACCTGCTACTTAGCTGTATCAAAGTAGTTTTGAAACATCTTGATGATGTCAGTGTCTTTCTACGTGTGTTGTAGATGCTGCCATAGTCTGATTTCTGTGTAGGACTCCATAATTCTGTATGTCATGGTTCAGATCACAGAATCAGTCCTACAAACCTGGCATTTCCAAAATCTAGAATTAAATTGGCTTCCAGGATCTGTCAAGTGGAACAGCATAACTTTATAATGTATGAAGCTATGAATGAGTCATGAGAAAATAAATCATGGTTAGTAAAAAGAAGGAAGGTAAGGAAAAATTAGGCACTATAGGGGATCTTTAGGAGAGAGGAAAGACCCTCTTCAAACAAGAAGTGGTATAATTCTGTGTTATAACGGTATTGCACGTGATGTGACGAAGTGTAAAATGGCATATGGGAGAAGGAAGCAGGAAAGGCAGACCAAAGGTCCATCTATTCTAGGCTCCAGCAGTAATCGATAGCAGATGGCTTGAAAAGTTCAGGAACAGGACAACCATAAAAGTACTCACCCACATATTTTCCCAGTTTCTGCCTTCCAGCTTTGTGAGCTAGATGATTTCTTTGGTAATTTGATTTTTTTTTTTTCACTGTTTGTCCAGTCTCTTCAACCCATGTAAGCATTTGGCATCTGCAGCATCCTGTAGAAGGGAGTCCAGTTGCATACCTACTTGTTATTTAGAAGCATCTCTCCTTGTCGTAACTGACTGACATTTGAAGGAGTAGGGTACCAAAGACATGGATCACTTTGATCTCAAGATATATATGCTCACAGTAATTAATATATAATGTTGAAGCTTGATTTTTCTCTCTGTTTTCTTAAAGCATGGTTCCAGTTACGAAAGGAAGGAAAGCTACAGTTCACGCCAAAGGAGTTTGTCTCCAGAGGACAGGTAGAATGATTGATTTTTATACCCTACAATTCTGTTCATATACCTCACATAGTAAGTCAGTTAAGAAAAAAAAGTCAGGTTTATAACTGAGTAGTGAAAAATAAGGGTGGATTTATTAAAATACTTGAATGTCAATATAGCAGTAACTAAATAGATGGGTTATTAAAACTAAATCTTCAAAAAATCTGTTTTCATTTCTTGAAAATCGAAATTAGATGCCAGCTTTTTGCTTGGACTCGCATATTGATGATGCCACAATTGTTACTTTAGAGCAAGATTATTGATGCCAGCAGGAGGTGGAGAACTGTAATGTGAAGTCTACAGTTTTAATTGGAATGAAACCTCTTGTAATAACTGCAGTATCATTTTTTTCTAATAGTGTTTATTCTGTTTTATGCTACACAGGCAAAAGTAGGTGAAATGAATTCACATGTTCCAAGGAATGGTATTTGGTTCTATATCTATTTAGAATTTAATTTTAAGTTTTAGGAGGAGCTTCCTTTTCCAGAGCTTCTCTTGATTTTTGATTATTTTTTTCTGACAACAAATTATTATAAAAGGAGCATCTTCTGTTTGAATGATGTGTATATTAAAAATCAGGTTGCAGAAGTGGAACAGTTGGTATATATGTAACATTGTATTGCAAGTAGATGCTAATAACATTGCTTTCCTAAGCCTGTTACTAAGAATTTTATGTATTGGGTTGCAAATAGGGATATAGACCGTGACAGGTCTCCATCTCCCAGAAAGAGAAGGTACTCTGATGACAGCAGATATGATCAGGAATATTCAAGAAGGGAATACTATGATGACAGAACTTCAGAAGGCAGGTGAGTATCAAGTTCTTTTGTAATCAGTAGTAAAATACTTCTTTCAAAGAAGAAAATGTGAAAACTTTTCATGAACCCTTTTTTTTTTTCTTTTTAGAAGGATGGAAAGGGGGAGAGAGAGACACTATGAGAGATGGGAGGAGAGAGAATCTGATCGAAGGAAGCAGAGAAGATATTCATCACCTGATCGTAGGAGTCCAGAGAGGTCAACAGACCAGAGCTCACTTGCTCATGATGAGACCACTTCAAAGAAGAAGAAAGAAGAAGTGGATCCAATCCTTACTCGCACAGGTGGTGCATATATTCCACCTGCCAAGCTCAGGATGATGCAAGAGCAAATCACTGATAAAAATAGGTGAGTTGAAAGTAATAAAATTAATATATTGGAATTTTTAATGAAAAGCAAAACAGTAAAGGATTTTAGTGAATGTTGGTGAAAATGGAATATCTTTTGAGGGCTATGATCATTCTTTTGAAGGTGTATTTTTATCAGAAGAAAGGTAAGAGAATCAGATTATGTCTGTACCTCTGCAAAGTTTAAATAGAAAAGAGGGATATGGAACATGACCAAAGATTGTTTTGAAATATCTTAGAAAACTGAACATACTGGGTTATAACATATCTGTGGAGAATAACATTTTAGTATATCATGTTGATTAAGTGATTTCCTAGTAGTTAAATGCATAATTGTAAACTTGACAATTATAAGGTCTTCATATTTACGCAGTGAATATTCTCGTAGCTATTTTAGTTTTTACAACTTACATTCGTGTTTTCATACATATTTATGAAAATTCACTCAGTGTTACCTTGAATTTATGCATTAATAATTTGTCATATCTTTGCAATAGCTTGGCATATCAGAGGATGAGTTGGGAAGCCTTGAAGAAGTCAATCAATGGTCTGGTCAATAAAGTGAACGTTTCTAATATAGAAAATATCATTCATGAGCTCCTTCAGGAAAATATTGTTCGGGGAAGGTAAGTCTTAGTATTTTGAAACATTTCTCTTGATTTTCTGCCAACGTGTATTGTTTATGTGTACATCACTTTGTCTAGTATATGGATGCTAGTTGGATTTTAAAATTAACCTTAGGTATATTGACCTACACAGAGTAGTCCCCTACTTTTGGGGAGAGGTAAGGGTGCAGCAGATGCGATATGTTTCCTTTTCTTAAAGCTTTTACCTATGCGCTTTACTTGAATGACTTACAGGTGTCTGTCCATCTATTTTTGTATTCTGGGATGTTTTTCTGTGGGACAAATGAAGTTTGTAGCCATATTTAGCAAAACAAATTTTACTATGGTTAGCCGGCTGGATTCTTTATTGTTTTAATATAGAGAAAATACTGTTATGGTATTTGAGCTGAGTACTAAGTCATGGTGACTGTGCCAGTACTGTGTGCTGACTTTCCTTGCTCTAATTTTGATGTCAGTAGAGGTTAAATATGCTAGTCTAGAGGCGTAAGGTTTCTTCAATAGACTGCCATTTAAACAACCAACCAGACCACCAAGAAAAAAAAACCCTTCTGAACAAAATATCCAGAAATAATGCTATTAACATTTCAGACAGCAACATTTTTTTTTCTGTCACAGCTTAATCACTGTTATTTGAAAAGATTATGGTTAAGGAGCGAGTTACTTTCATGTGTGCCATACTTGATGGGAAGATCAGAATCCTGCAGTTTGCATAAAAATAACAGAAGAGAATAAAGTAAAATCTAGAGAGTGAGCAAGTAGTTCTGTGAAAAATAATAATGAAGTCTTGAACAGTTTGTTGTAGAACTACTTTTACTTGTCTGCATTTCACGTCCCTGAAACTTATTCTTCGTACAAGCAGAAAATAACCATCTAGTATGATGTGACTGTTCCACCTGTAAAATACTATTATGTGGTACCTACTGAATAAAACATTAGATGTTTTATTACCAGAAAAATCTTTAATTTATGTATTTTTACAGGGGATTGCTGTCTAGATCCATTTTGCAAGCTCAGAGTGCCTCTCCAATTTTTACCCATGTTTACGCAGCTCTTGTGGCAATTATCAATTCAAAGTTTCCAAATATTGGTGAATTGATTCTCAAGAGACTGATACTAAACTTTCGCAAAGGATATCGCAGAAATGATAAGGTATGTAGAATGTGAAGAAGCAACATGCTGAAACTTTCTGCTGTGTTAACCATGTATCAAGTGTGTCCAAATTATGTATTTCAAAGGCACACAACGAACACCTGTGCCTTGGAACTTAAGTACTGTAGCATTAGAGTATCATGAAAGCTTGACATCCTGTTCTGACTTGGTACTGTCATAGTTTCTCTTTTCTTTTTTTTTTTGAACATGTACATCCCTAATTGCGAGTACCTGTCTGTAGCCTAAACTAGTTCGTTTCATGACTTGATTTGATTGTGAGATACACAGATTTTTAGTAAGTTATTTTTTTCTTCCACATAAGATGTACTAAAATTTTGTATTTTGTTTCTTTTGCAGCAACTTTGTCTAACATCTTCGAAGTTTGTTGCACATTTGATGAATCAGAATGTGGTATGTTATTTCATGTTTCTACTCAATCCAAACACTACATGACTACTTCTTTAGTTTCATGACAGCAGTAGCCTAAGTGAAATTGCTTTTCCTGTTCTAATGGTTACCGAAAATCTGATTTCAGGTTTCCTTTTAATGCCTGCTCTAAGTTGTTAGGACCTTTTTAGAAAAGACATTAGTAATTTCCTATGCAGTTATCATCATTTACCATTGCATTTATACTCCAGAGCTTCCCCAGACTTCGTAAATGTTTGGGCTAGTATTCAGGCAGGTCCTGATGCAAAGCAATCTTCATCTGAAGCCCTGTCCCACAAATCTTAAGCAGTTTTCTTGCAACACTGTCATCTGACTTGAACATCTATGTAGGCAGAACTAGACTCAGTTGCACCTAAATCAAGTTTGTATCCAGTGCTGTGCCACTCTATTAGAAATCAGGATAGTGCAATTTAAATAATGTCAAGAAGCAGTGTTTCAGGAATGCACTGGGAATATACAGCATTTTGGTAAATAGTAAACTAATGTAAGATAGGCCATTTGCTTATGTGCCTGGTTTTGGAACACCTGATTTCATTATAGACACAATGCACTTAAAGCTTTCTGTAATGTAAGTGCTGTTTTATTTGCTTCTTGGAAATACATTCTGGTTTTTTTTCTTAATGGCAAAATGTTTTTCATTGCTTGCTTGTTCATCTCAATAGCATAGCCACATTCACTACAAATTTGATGTAAATACAGGTGATAAAATTGTATTTGAAATTTTGAGCTCCTCTTAATTAGCTTTGTCCCGCTACAGTTGCCTTGTGTGTGTGATTAAACAAGAGTGTTGTAGTATCCTCAAAGGCTGGACTGCTCTGTCAAGTAAATCACTGCAATAATAGTGTAATGTTGCACGTTCTAATTCTTTACTGATATTGTTTCTGTAGGCTCATGAGGTTTTATGTTTGGAAATGCTGACTTTGCTTCTTGAAAGGCCTACTGATGACAGTATTGAAGTAGCAATTGGATTTATTAAAGAGAGTGGGCTCAAATTAACAGAAGTTTCTCCTAGAGGTATTAATGGTAAGTATAATTAGCCAGAATATTTGTCTTTTTGGTGTTTGTATTAGTAAATCTTTTTCATCTTTACATTTCTGTCTTTTTCCAAAGCAATCTTTGACCGTCTTCGACACATTCTGCATGAATCTAAAATCGATATGCGTGTTCAGTATATGATAGAAGTCATGTTTGCTGTACGGAAGGATGGCTTCAAGGATCACCCAATCATTCCGGAAGGATTAGATCTAGTGGAAGAGGAGGATCAGTTTACTCATATGTTGCCATTAGAAGATGACTACAACCCAGAGGATGTTCTTAGTAAGTTAGAAATGGGAATAATTCTTTGACTGCGTTCCTTATGGAAACAAATTTAAGATTAAATATTAATTGTTTTCTTCATTTTGTATTTTAAATAAGATTATCTTTTATTCTAAAGATGTTTTCAAGATGGATCCGAACTTCATGGAAAATGAAGAGAAATACAAGACACTGAAGAAAGGTAGGGGGTTGTGTGTATACATATTTTATCCATAATATTTAGATACATTTACACACTTACTTATAGGGCATTTACTTATCTAACTATTGTTACTAACCTTTATTATTTAACAGTGGGTGATAATTGTGTCCTGGATAACTGTCTTTCAGTTCATCATGGACCTTTCCAATGCATTCCTCTTATTTTCTTCAGTATTGTTTCTGCAGCTACATTTTCATATGGTTATGTTGTGACTATTACTTTGGCTCTGCCACATTCTCCACCTGAGAGACCTTTTTACTCATGGGTGTTGGATCAAGGGTTTTTTTGGTAATAAAGCTACTGTGATCTGTATTCCTTTAATCTGGGATACTGCTCTTTCAGAAATTCTTGATGAAGGTGACAGTGAATCTGAAGCAGATCAAGAGGGTGGAAGTAGTGAGGAAGATGAAGATGAAGAAGAGGAAGATGAAGATGGTAAGTGTATGACTGGGACCTTACTAGTGGTTGGTTGACTGTAGATGGAACAGGAAAGAAAGGCTTAACTTGTTACGAATTTTGCAAAACTAAGAATCTTCAAATGTTAAGGGATGTTTTCTTCTTAAATTATTCTCAGATCTAAGTGTGTACTAGCATAGTATAAAAGTAATGGTCTAGAAGGAAGCATTCAGCACAGGCAGAAAATGAAAAGCATCTTGGCTTGATTGTTCTTGACCATAGCAGTTTCATGCAAGAAAAGCCATGCAAACATAAGACAGTAAAAATAATGAACATGAAAAGAGTTCCTTAAAAACTAATAAAGAAGATCTTTCTGGATACTTATTAGTGCTCTACTGTATTTTTAAATTGCCTTCAAAATCATACTGGGCTTTCTTACAACTGTGTTTACGTCCTCTACATCTCATTTCTTAGTTCAGTTCAGCCCCCTTTCTTGATCTTTAGTGCAAGCAGTCAGTGTTTACACATATATTCGATTCCCAGAAAAAAAGTGATGGATAAGTATAACAGAAATATTTGTGTACACTGTGTGAGTAATTGAAAAGCCAGCCAAGTCCTCTTCTTGGAGAATACCAGGAATGGATTTCCTCACCAGTTTGCTGGAGTATTTCACAGAAGAATAGAGCTTCTAGGCTGATGAAAAGTATGAGAATTCACGTAACTTTTCATCATTTATGCTATGCCCAAACTTTATGAGAATGAAGGAGTAGTGAATACCTTATGAATTAAGGTGTTCCCAGAATGGTTGTGGTTTGGAACAGATTTTTTTTTTTATGCTTGTTCTAGGACAAAACAGAGCTTTGAATATTGTAAAGTAGATCCTGCACATTACAGAAAAAAAGAATTTCCTGTTAAGATCAGGGAGGCTACATAAAACATTGTATAGTTAAATTATGCAGAAAATACCTTCCTATTAATGTAGTCAAGAAATGTTAAATCCAGAGGTTACCCTGCAAAATGCAAATGCAAGTCATGTGAAAAGCCTTTAAATGGGGAGTTATCCTCTTAAAGCTGTATCTCTAAATATTTACTTGTTAGTTACAGATGAGGTAATCACTATTTTTTCTTTGCTGCAAAAATATTAATAAAAAAATAACAAACCTGCTAAGCAGTCCTAAATATTTTGAAAAAAAGTATTATGTAGTGTGCTACAGCCTTAGTAAATAGTAAATAGAGCTTTTCTAAGAGAGTGCATGTCTTTTTACTCTTTACAAAACCATGTTTTTTCTTTTACAGGTCAGAAGGTTACTGTCCATGACAAAACAGAAATTAACTTGGTCTCCTTCCGTCGTACAATTTATCTTGCTATTCAGTCAAGGTACATATATAATTTGTACACCTATGAGTGTAGTTCTTTTGAAATGGGTGAACTAGAATTCTCTTTCTTCCTAAACATTTTAGTGTGCAATTTAAAAGGGGGGGAAAAAAAACCACCCAATGGGGTAGTGTCCTTTATGGAGCCTGACCTAATTGTATAAAGCAGACTGTTTTGACAAATGGGTACCCAAATACACATTCTAAGATAAATCTGTTTGTTTCAAAATGTTTGAGTAGTGCACTGGGACTTCTCTATGGGGATTGCTGTAATCAGAGTTTTCTGAGCGAATAAAAGTCAGTGATCTTCAGATTATACAACATCTGAAGAGTTTCTGAAAAAAGTGTTTGACACACTTAAATTAGAGATACTGTAGAGTTTCTCTGCTTCTGAGAGTAAGGAGTTCTGCAGTGTGGTACCGTCTAGGCCTGTTGCCATCTGCATTGTTTGGACAATAAGTATACAGATACCAACCCTGAAATTCACTGTAGTTGTATTCATCTTGAGAAGGAAATCCCCTTGCAGTACATGGCACAAATAATCAAAGCATCATGGTATAACTCCTGTGTTGCCTGCGTGAAAGGAGAGATAAATCTATTGCATGCCACTCAATTCCATTGTAAAGGTAGGCATGGCCCACAACATTCTGCAGGTCTGAACCTGCATGGGGAGTGAAATAATGGAGTTGTGGTATTGATCATTAGATATTAATACAGTACTGAGATGTATGAAAGACTCCTACATTTCTCAGAATTACTGTTCAATGCTTTCCTGCCATACTTAAATTTATCTTCTTCAGCATGGGGAGGTACTTACTGGTAGCTAAAGGCTTCAATATGCAAGAACGGGAGTGCACAACAAAGTACAGTGCTTTGATTTCAGTGTTTTTCAGGATGTGCAAAATGAGCTTACATATTTGTGTTTTGCTGAGTTTTGTAAGATGATGTAATAGAAATCACAACACAAAATATTTATTTCAAAAAACCAAGAACAACAAAAATATCTCAACAAAACAAACAGCTTTCTGAATGTTAATAAGATACTTTATTTCAAAACGGTTGAAGTTTCAGCACCAACAAGCAATGTAATTCTAAAATGGTTTTATATATTGCATAGATAATGAGAAGTATTTTTCTATTATTGCAGCTTAGACTTTGAAGAATGTGCTCACAAATTGCTGAAGATGGACTTTCCCGAAAGTCAAACTGTAAGCCTTGCTGCTTATTCTTTTTTGTTATTAACATTATTAAAAATAGTGCTATGGTAGTATCTAGAATCCTTGCTCTTTGCCTGGTACCTAGCAAGCTGATGAGGGGTGATTTCTTACAGCTGCTCTTTAAAACGGGTCTTACAACCTTTAGAGCAAATAAGCTGACACACAGTTCATAAGACATTTATCTTATGCAATTGCTTCTTTCTGTCAGGCAGCTCAAATGTTTGCTCATAGCTTGTTTGAAAAAGTTTGTTCATTGGACTGTTGAAACACTTATCCTCTGCCAAAAGTACTGTAGCCTGGCAGTCATCAGAGCTCAGTCTCTGAAAGAGCTGGGAGTTGAAGATCGTATTTGCAGAGAGCTATAGACTTTATCAGTGGGACTAGAAATTTAGCATATCACTAAAAGAATGTGTTGTTCCATTGCTTTCACAGTGCTCTTAGAAGTGCTTTATTTCAATACGCTATTATTCAAAGTATGATTGCTTTGGTGTAATCTTGGAGATCATCAGACAAAATCATTTTCAGACTGTAAGGTCAATACAGTTGGTATGCTTTCATGTCAAGGAAACTGTCCTTCAGCTAGTACTTATGCTAGATCCTTGTAGAATATAAATACCCAATTATATTAACAGTTTTTCAGTCAGCTGTAAGCTATCATCATGAGATTTGCACTTGAGAGATCTCTTAATTTTCTTGTGGCTTTAATTATCAATACTCTGTTGTATTTGAAGCAATGTGTGTAGAAGTAACCTTATTAGTCGTAGTAGTAACTAGTAAGTTGAGATCTGGGCTAGAGTTAGGTGTTCTTTGAAAACTTGTTTTAATCTAGTAATCGGAAATAGGTTTGCCTGTTAGCTTTTTTTCCTAGTTCTTCTGTTATTAAGGAATTTACATGGAAGTAAATTAAGAATTCAGATGATCATCGTGTATTTTCTTATCTAATTCTTGAATTCTTTGCATGAAATGCAATACTAAGCATGCATGGGATTATGATTCTTGGTGAAGCATAACCTGGAGAATTCTAAAGAGAAAAAAAAAATCCTATTTCCTAGCAAATCAGTTCAACTCTAAAGAAATAAGAGAACAATCTAGAATAGATCTAGATAGATCATACAGTGGAGTTATAACTTGTGTAATGCTGCTTGGTAGGTTACTGCTCAGAGAACAGCTCAGCTGTTGATATTTAATACCATTGCAGTCTCTGTCAACTACTAGCTACCCTGTGGGCAAGATCTACACAGAAAAAATAAATTTAATGGAGGGAGAAAAAAAACAATCCCCAAAAAACCAACCTGTAAGTCAGAATCTTAGATGTATAAAAAAAGCAGGTTTTCTTTCACCTCTTTATTTGTTATTTTTGATATTTGACTTAGTATTTGCTACCAGGTTATTTTCTTTTGTGTTTTGTGGATCTTTTGCTTGCTGCGAATAATCAGACATACACAGTTGAATTCAAGGTGTTACTTTTCATATACTTTATAGGGTGCTAATTTACTGAATGTGAATATTTTTTTTTATATGACATAATCCTGTGAAGGGCTTTATTTCTGTCTCAGTTTTGAGAAACTTTATTTCCCCTATCAATCACAAATTAATGTATGCAACGATAAACATGTAAATGTGTTTGGTTTTTTTCTGCTGCACTGCAAACACAATTGTTTCTCCTAATTTTGTAGGGGAGCTCTCAGAGCAACTCTCAGGTCTAGTTTTGAGACTCAAGGAAGTATGGCTAAATTGAATATATATGGAACTTTTGGGAATCAATTAAGTACAATGCTAACTATTTTAGAGTACAGTAGCTTTGTGACCAGTAGCACTGTAATCTCTGAAGTGCTTCCACTGAATTTCATGTCTTTCTAAGAGGCTATGATTGGAGGAGACAAAATATGATACCCCACCAGCTGTCTAGACAATATTAATTTGTTCTGTTAACATCCCATTTCCAACAGATTCTTTCCTATCAATTTGTGCTTTGGAAAACGTGTAAGATTCAGTAAGCATCATGGTTTTTTGATATTAAAATCTGCAGCATTCCTTTAAAACTAGAACATCTAGATGAATAACAATTTATGTATTTAATTATTACAGTTTATGGTACTTAGATAATTTATTTTGGTTAGCACACCACCCTGTTAAGAATTTGAGATGATGCAGTTATGATTCAGCTATAATTGCTATGAAAGAGATGCTGTTAAAATAAATGCAGCGGCTCTTTTTGGCAGTGTGTGTGTGCAAGTATATATCTATCTAAAGAAATAAATATAAATGAATGTCAACCTATGATTCAATACTAGTTGTAGGAATTGCTACAACTGAGGGTTCAAAACTGTACCTTTTGTCACGAGGCATCTTTTCTCTGATGATTTCTTTTTTCCCCTAATAATCATCATTACTTTTCACCTCACCTTAATCAAATATGTGAGATATTTGACTTGCTCATTGTATAGAATTACAGCTCCTAAAAAAAAAAAAAAAAAGAAAACCCAAGGTTTCCTCATTAGTGTGAGAGCAGAGAGAGCAACCAGACACAGACAACAAAAAATCAACGATTTATGGGGCTCCAGTCTACCCATGTGGATGAAAAACTGAAAGCACTCAGCCCTTTAGTGAATTGATTCCCACTGTCTTGGGGGGGGGGGGGGGGGGTGTCTGTTTTACTGAAAGCTTCAGTGACCTATGTTGCAGGATGATGTGTCTTTATGCTTTGCACCTTATTATTCAAAGCTTTAACCAGTCTTGAGACATTCCTGAAATGTTTGCCGAATCTTCAAAGTTCATTTATGCTTGTGAGAAAATTGCAATTTAGATCAGGTGTAGGAGGTAATAATATCATGGTTTCTTACAGTGAAGAAGTGAAGTAAGACCTCATTCTTAGGAATAAGACTCCTGCTATGAATTGCATTTATCATGAGAAGCAGGTACTGGAGTGTTTGATTGAAGTATCGTTTAATGCAGTTTCTATTCCTTAAATTTTTTTTTTTCCTAAATTAAGCTTAATTTTATAGTAACTTTGTGTTTTCCTTCTGGAAAGCTTTAATTAATAAAATCGGCTTCCTTTAATTTTGTCATTAAGACTGTTATTCACAGGCTTTGAGTAGTGAATTGTCAGTTAAATAGCATCCGAAATCTTGTAAGAATACTCAAAACCTACAGACAGACATGAATGACAATTTTGAGATTAATATAGTATTAGCCACTTTCTTGCAGGTTAATTGCTCCAGAAATCTGTATTACAGAGACTTCTGGTGTCATTTAGCAGGGCTAAGTTCAGGAATATATTTAGCAGTTTTTATCAGTGGTTGAATTATCAGATTATTGTGTCACGTTAACTGCTGTGCAACACAAGTGTTTGAATGTTTAATACCAGTAATGGATCTGTCACACAGCTCTGGCTTGCAGAAAGAGGATTAAAGTTCAAATGGATCATCTATGGAATAGGACAACATAATACTGCTTTCTGGCATTGCAGTTTAGTATTGCATGCTGAGGGGGATGTCAGCAGTCTTATTTACTAACCTAAAATAGTTCTGTTCTGACTTGAAATAAACACACTTTTCTTTTTGCCATGAACTGAAATGTTGCTTTTTCAGAAATGAATGATGCTGTTAAACAGAAACATCCAGTTAACTTTTAGTCTCCAGCTGCATGTTCTCCTTCCTGAAAATATCCCCATATTTCCTCATCCTTTATTTTTTCTCACATACCTTTTTTTGGGCAAAATGTTTGCCTACTACAGTGTCCTGTTTTTCTTTCTTTAAAAAACACCTTTTCACAGTTTTCTTTTCCGAGTTCACAAGTTCAGTTTTCAGTACCAGCTTTCCAGTTTTTCTATTTTCCTTGGCTCTTCTTTTATTAATTTATTTTTGCTCCAGGATTCTGAAAATATATCTGCTTCTTGTACCTGGACCTTGTCTTCCTGATTACACTTGTTTCACCCTTTTAGATTACCCTGACATGTTCAAAGTTGTCTCCTGCATCTTCTGTATCAAAGGGCCCTTCTTTAGTCATTAGAATTTAAATCTTCTAAAATGTATCATTTTCTTCTGTATTTCATTGATCTCTGATAGACGTAAGCAGTGTGCTTCTGTGTTAAAAACCAAAAAGTTAGTCCTCTGTGGTTTTACATTGCCAGTTTAGTATCTATGTCCAGAAGCTGTTTCAAAACATTTTTATCGCATGTTTTCTTCCTGATCCTTTTTCACAGTGTTTTCTGTATAAGATTTTCAGGATGCCCCTTTGCATGATGTTTTGTAGGTCTTCTCTTGTTCTACCACTGTTTCTTTAAAAACAAAGAAAAATCTTGTAAGTCTTCTCAGTTCTGTTATGAGAACTTTCCCTAAATCTGTTACTAAAAGCCTGTTCAAGTTAATTTTGTTTCTCCTGTTCCTCTGTTTCTTACGACCTGAGCAGATTAAATGGTATCACTGTCTACCTGCTGCTGATTCCGACCCACACCTTGTTTCTCACCCCTTCCCTGAATTCTGTGCAGATATGAAAACCTTATAAATTTTACTTCTATATTTTCTGTTGTGCTGATGTCCATCCCTGCTTGAGGAGTAGGTTCCTGGTGGGCTCTTGCTAATCTAGCAGGCCTCTGCTTCCTTTATTACCCATCTGTGAGTGTTGATACTGTTACTCACATGGGAAGACAGTTGAATGCATCTCCTGTGTGTTGGGACTCTCTTGCTCCCTTGTACTCTTCCAGGTGGATTCTTAAACTTTGTCAAAGGAGTTTATTGCTCTTTGTTGTTGTTGTTGATTTGCCTAACTTCAGCATCTCAGTTCTCCTCTTCTGCATTAGGCAGTAGTATTTAAGTATGCCAAATACTAAGAATTCAATTCTCATGTGTTTGTTTCTGATTTTTTTTTTTAAAGGAAAAATGAAATTCATATAATTGAAATTCTTCCTTTAGCAGTAAATTTAATAGGAGGAGACATGCTTTTCTTGGCAACTGAAGCCTGCAGATCAAAAGTTGAAAATCTTTGTTGTG